GAGTATTTTTCTCCATTAGAGCTAGCTTTGTAGATGGATCTGTTCTTGTGATTTGCGTCTCTGTTTCCAGTTTCTATGTTCAAGAAGGGACAAAGGTTTTGACTTTTTGATCTTCTTACCAAAATTCTGGTTTAGTTTCTGTTTCAAGTTTCATCTTTTTTTTTACCTGATCTGGGATTTGTGATTTCTTTCTATTTTCTCATCCTCTCATTTCAATCGAATCCAATCCAGTGTTGATTTTGACTTGTGGGTTTTGTTTCTTATGATCCTAGGTTTCTAAATTAGTGACCTTTTTCCCAATTGGATTGATTAAGGTTTCAGGAAGAAAAAAAAGCCAAACTTTTGTTCTTAATTCGCTGAAACGTGATTCTGATTAAGGTTTTGTTTTGATAATACAATTAGGGTTTTGATGCATATCTCACTTTGGAAGCCAATTTATCACTGTGCTGCTGCTCTAGTACTTGACAAGAAGAGCAGCAGGAATCGAGATGTTTCCGAGTCAACAAGAGCTGTGACTCAGCGTAAACTCCATGAATCCAAGCTCAGAGAAGCTCTCGAAGAAGCATCTGAAAATGGGTTGCTCGTTAAATCTCAAGACATTGAAGAAGAAGACGAGTCTCATGATCAAAGCCTTGGACGGTCAAGATCACTCGCTAGACTCAATGCTCAACGAGAGTTCTTGCGTGCTACTTCAATTGCTGCTCAAAAAGCTTTTGAATCAGAAGAAGCTTTACCTGAGCTTGAAGAAGCTTTAAACATGTTTCTAACGATGTATCCAAAGTATCAATCTTCTGAGAAAGTTGATGAATTGAGAAACGATGAGTATTTTCACTTGTCATTGCCAAAGGTATGTCTTGACTATTGTGGGTTTGGGTTGTTCTCGTATCTTCAAACAGTTCATTACTGGGACACTTGCACTTTTAGTTTGTCGGAGATTAGTGCGAATCTAAGCAATCATGCTTTATACGGTGGTGCTGAGAAAGGATCTATTGAACATGATATCAAGATTAAGATAATGGATTACTTGAACATCCCTGAGAATGAGTATGGTCTTGTGTTCACTGTTAGTAGAGGCTCTGCTTTCAAGTTGCTTGCAGAGTCTTATCCGTTTCACACAAACAAGAAGCTACTGACTATGTTTGATCACGAGAGTCAGTCGGTTAGTTGGATGGGTCAGTGTGCGAAGGAGAAAGGCGCAAAGGTTGGTAGCGCTTGGTTTAAATGGCCTACGCTTAGGCTTTGTTCGATGGATCTTAAGAAGGAGATTTTGAGTAAGAAGAAGAGGAAGAAGGATTCCGCGACCGGTTTGTTTGTGTTTCCGGTTCAGTCGAGGGTCACAGGGTCGAAGTATTCTTATCAGTGGATGGCATTGGCTCAGCAAAACAACTGGCATGTCTTGCTTGATGCTGGAGCTTTGGGTCCTAAAGACATGGACTCGCTCGGGTTGTCTTTGTTCCGACCGGATTTCATCATAACTTCGTTTTACCGTGTATTTGGGTATGATCCAACTGGGTTTGGTTGTCTGTTGATCAAGAAATCTGTGATTAGCTGCTTGCAGAGTCAATCCGGAAAAACGAGTTCAGGAATTGTGAAGATAACACCTGAGTACCCTCTGTATCTAAGTGACTCCATGGATGGTTTGGAAGGTTTGACTGGGATGGAAGATAATGATCTCGCCATTAATGGTGATAATAAAGTTGCGGCAACTCAGTTACCGGCATTCTCTGGTGTTTATACTTCTGCTCAAGTGCAGGATGTCTTTGAGACAGATATGGATCATGAAATTGGTTTTGATAGAGATGGGACAAGCACTGTGTTTGAGGAAGCCGAGAGTATTTCAGTGGGTGATTTGATAAAGAGCCCGGTTTTCAGCGAAGATGAGTCATCGGATAGCACGCTCTGGATTGATTTGGGTCATAGTCCTGCTGATTCTGATAATGCAGGTCATATGAACAAGCAAAAGAGCCCCTTACTAGTTCCACAAAACCACAAACGACGAATCTCGCCTAAACCAGCTTCAAAGGCGTATAGTGGCAGTAACGGTGGGAGCCATGTCCTCTCGTTTGATGCTGCTGTCTTGTCAGTATCACATGAAGTGGGTGAAGAAGTGTTGGAAGAAGAAAAATCTGAAATGAATAAGATAGACACAAGTCGTCGGTTGCGAGTTAATGAGATAGAAGAAGAAGAAGATGGAGGGAGCAGTAAGCTAATTGCTGAAGCAAATGGAAATGGTTCAACCTCTGGAATCAAAGAGAGTGCGATAAGAAGAGAAACCGAAGGCGAATTTAGGCTGTTAGGAAGAAGGGAGAAGAGTCAGTACAATGGTGGGAGACTTCTTGTGAATGAAGATGAACATCCCAGTAAACGAAGAGTATCGTTTAGATCAGTAGATCATGGAGAAGCATCTGTGATCAGTCTTGGGGATGAAGAAGAAGATGAAGATGGAAGCAATGGAGTAGAATGGGATGATGACCAGAGAGAACCTGAGATAGTTTGCAGGCACATTGATTATGTAAACATGTTAGGTCTCAACAAAACCACGTCGAGACTCCGGTACCTCATTAACTGGCTTGTGACTTCTCTGCTCCAATTAAGGCTCCCTATATCAGATCCAGGCGGAGAGCACAAGAATCTTGTTCAGATTTATGGTCCAAAGATCAAATACGAACGCGGATCTTCTGTGGCGTTCAATGTTAGGGATTTAAAAAGCGGAATGGTGCATCCTGAGATAGTGCAGAAACTAGCTGAAAGAGAAGGGATATCTCTAGGCATTGGTTACCTCAGTCACATAAAGATCATCGATGGTCGAAGCGAAGATTCAAGTTCTTGGAAACCGGTGGATCGAGAAGGAAGAAACAACGGTTTCATAAGAGTTGAGGTTGTCACAGCTTCTCTCGGTTTCTTGACAAACTTTGAAGATGTTTACAGATTATGGAATTTCGTGGCCAAGTTCTTGAGTCCGGGTTTTGCTAAACAGGGGACACTCCCAACAGTTATTGAAGAAGATGATTCTTCAGAAACTTAAGAGACATGAGCAATGGATACATTTTGTCTTACACTACTTCCTTTACTGTACTTATCTGAGAACATTCTCATGTATGATTCTGGGAAGTTATGTGAACAGAGACGATCTCAGACACTATTGCAGCTGTCTGTATATTGTAACTGTTCATTTCTCTTCCATCTTTGTGTCACACAATTCATTGATTCATTTCCAAACTTCAGAAACAGAGGAATTTTCTTCTCAAGATTCCATCATCTTTATGATGGAATCTGCAGGAACCGGTTCTCTTCAATAATATCAGTCGTCAAGTTGAAGCAAGACTATAAAATATCACCAAAAATTTTTGTTTTCCGAAAATATCACAAAAATAAAACCATGAACTATCTATGTTAGCCTATAAAATGACCACCTCAAACGGTGCAGGAAAACGCAATTTATCCGGTTTTATCGGGTTTCTTGAAACGCAATTGACTTGGCCTGCTTCATGTACGTTTTCAACTTGTTTCACATCAACCTTGGATGCTTCAGCTATCTCCATCACCCGTTCCTTGCGATTTATCAAGCTCTGCCCAAACACCAATAATATTATTTAATCAAAGGTCAAATCTCACAAAAAAAAAACAAGTTTTGGTCGATCGATAACCACTTCATGACTTATTTACCTTCGTCTGTCATTATAGTCACGTACAGCTTCACCTTCTTGTCGCTTAGCTTCGAAGGAACATGCGGACCAAAGCTGAAATCATTCTACAGAGGATTTGGAAGAATTTTACGGGTCACAACGTGTTGGATCCAGTAACCAAACAAAGAGTGAGAGATGAAACCAACCTCTTTCTCCAATCCGAGTTGTTTCCTGTAATAAGCATACATTTGTCTCAAACTAGATCCAGGTTGATAGTTTGGTGAGACCCATGGGTTTTCTGCACAGGAGCGGACCAATCAATGAGAGACCAAGCAAAGACTTAAGCTGAGAGAGAAAAAAGGAGATTGCTTACTGAAGAGACTCCTGACAAAAGGCTTGGCTTCAAAAGCTTCAAACTCCTCACCCTTCACTCCTGTTCCTGTTTCGGCTAATATCATGGGACACCTGCAGCAACACTTGAAAAAAAAAAAAGAGGAATATCATCAGCATTAATAGATCAAACACTTGGAGAAGGATGATAAGATTATGTTTTTATAGAAATGAGAAGAAAAAAATGCTTACTTGCTGATAGCACCACAGGCTTTTGGGGCGGTGTTTACATTAGTAACCATGACAGCTCCAACAGGGAAACTTTGCTTGAATGCTTGAGCTTGATCAAATGCAGCTTGACCAATACTGCCATCCATGACATATATAACAAGATCCGGATTCTGTTTGCTGTTTGAGCTGTTTCGGCTAGGTTAGCTGGCTTGCTGTTTCGGCTAAGCAGCGCATCTCTTCAAACAATGGAGAATACTCTTTATGGCGGTCGCTAGTAGTGTCTACAATTATAAGATCAAGCTTGTCTTTTTTCAACTTTGCAATTCTTTTTGCAAGAATTCTACCGTAGTAACTGAAAAGAAACGACCAAGTGGGATATCAGAAAACTTTATTTCTACTTAAATAAAGAGAGTAGCATCTGCCTTGTCTAATGTTTTGTACCTTACGGAGACAGGGACTAAAGCATCTGCCTTGAAAGCATGAGCACACACTAAAGCTAGCCTGAATCCCTTGTTGAGGTGGTAACGAGCATACTTGGCACACACTGATATATTTTCATATTCTGTAGAAGAAAAGAAAAGAAAAGTTCAAATTTTATGGCTAAAGAAAACCATAAATAGTCCACACGATGA